TTTTTTTTTTTTTTTTTTTTGTATGGAGGATTGAATGTGGGACCTTGCACTTGTGAGACAGGCATTAGAACCACTGAGCTAAATCCCTGGCTCAGCATTTATTTAACTTTTAGCAATCAAAAATTTTGTAAATAGAAATACCACTGCTAAAACATAATCATATAAATAGAATGATGTCTTTGTTTCCAAAGACTATTATTATATATGTGATATGCCAAAATAATAAACATGAGATATTTCATGACAACGTTGGGCGTTAGGGTTGGACTGTGATCTGTGAGTTACCTTGGGGTAAACACTGAAGCTACATGCCCCACAAGTATTTGCAAGGCAAACAGGAAACAGGTTAAGGCTTAGCTCCGAAGGCCCCTTCTCAGTGACGCCTTGCCTGGTTACTCTCCTGAAAATAAAATAATCTCCTTCACCACCCAACCAAGATGCCTTGCTCTTCTCACACTGTGTTTCCCCTCACAGTATGTATCACCAACTCTCCTGTCATATGTTTTATTTAATTTTTTAATTTAATTTTTTTTTCTAGAATCAGTGTCCTCCTGGCATGATGGTTGTCCACTCAGTTCACCATAGTATTCCAGAGCCTGCCACTCAGAGCAGCTATGCTTAGCATGTAGATGGGGCTCAGCAAATAACTTTTGAAGGGTGCATATTTGGATAGAAGGTTGGAAGGATAGATAGTTGAACGGTTAGGTGGATGGAGAGTTGGATAGAAGTGTGGATGGATGGATGGTTGGATGAATAGATGGAAGTGTGGATAGATGGATGGATGGATGAATGGATGGATTTTTGACAAGCCCTGTCAGTTTTCACATAACCCGCGAGTCCAATAGATGTTTCATTGAGACTGAGTGAACCACAGGATACCTCTGTTTCCTTAAGTCATTTCTCTCCAGTTCTCAGGCCCTAAGTATTGCCAATGCCTGGCACTCACATGCACCCATGGCTTCCTTGCACCAAATAGGAGGTGAGGATGGTGACACTTGCATGGGCAGGAATCTTTTGGGTGTGACCTCTTTACACTGGCAAACACACTATTCTACTGGGAAGCTCTTTCATATTCCCATTTCACACTATAGAATTTCTTGCCCCGTTACAGTGATTGGTACATCTTAGGCTGTAAGAAATCTTATAGAATAAGATTAAACTTTTAAATGTTACAGTCAAACTATTTTGGAAGACACTTTCTACACTCTTAGTCTGTGAATATTTATGTTTCCTTTGTTGATAACTGTTGGTTGCTTTCTTTCAATGGTCAGTACTGCCATAAAAGGAACATGTGATGATCCATTTGAATTTGTCTTCTAAGTGGTAGGTGAAACTTTTATACTAGGAGCTATCCTGTATGTAAATTTGATATATTTCCATACTTTTTATAAGTTTAAAAGCATATAGTTTATTCTGTCAGGTAAACTCTTACAAAAATGTCCTGGCACACAATCAGGAAAAGCAGAGAGGGCCTCCGTGTAAGCAAATTTTCTACCTAATTTAGTGATATCTCTTTAAGCATCAGGTTTTTAAAAAGCTTGAATTGTTTTGAAAGAGTTTTTCTTATAATTTATCATATGACTTCAGGACCCAGGGAGAAAGCTAATAATGCTTTTGTCTTCACGAACAACTCTGACCAATGTGTCTTGTGAAATACTGGGCTAATGTACTGGAGGGAAGATTTTCTCTGAGGCAGCAGTGGTAAATGGTATGTGGGACTCCTTACTCCATCAACTGACTGTGGGCTGTTCTCTGTTTTGAGTTGTCAGCTCTGGTTTTATTTTGTCTTTCCAGGACTGGTTGCTATCTGGCATGTGTTGTCTCTTGCGCCCCTTACTCTTCTATTTCAGCGCTTCCAATTTGCTATGTATTTGGAACCTACTAGGTAATCCTGCAGGGATATATTTCCCTTAAGAAAGGGCTCAGAATCTTACCTTCTGAGAGTAACTAGGATTCAAGAAGGTACTGTACTTCAGCAAATCTGGGAGCAGCTTAGTGTGGTATAGTTCATTTGCCCCATAAAGTTCTCTGGGTATTTGGTTTATTTTACTGTTCATTGATTACTATGTGTGGTGTGTTAGAAACATATGGAATTAAAGTAACATTCTCTCTGTTCCCATAACTGTTCTGTGGATAAAGAAATAGGTATAGTTAGTTCTCAATGTCTCAGATGGATCAATTCTAGGACTGCTTGTGGACTCCTTAATCCAAGGTTGTTTATATCCCTTATATAAAATAGCATAACATTTGCACAAAACCCATATACATCCTTCTGTATAATTTGAATCATCTCTGGATTCCTTAAAATACCTATTGCAATGTAAATGCTTTGCAAATAGTTGTTGGTTGTTGTACTATTTTGTTTAGGGAGTAATGACATATTTAGTATGTTATTGCTTTCTAATGGCATATGTAGTACAGAGAGAATTTCCTTTTTTTCCCTGAATATTTTTGATTCACAGTTTCTGGAAAATATGGATGTATGTAGAACTTGCAGATAGGAAGGGCTAACTATACAATAGAAGTCGAAGTAGAGACTATATGGTGTTGGCCTAGTTACCATATTGTAAGCTTGAAGGAAGAAGAACTGCTGTACATTTGACCAAATTTAATGGAAGACAAGATACGGGAGGGTAAGATGGGAAGGACAGTTTACACGTGGGGAGACATGCAGGGTACAAGGTAGAGGATGTCTAAGGAGAAGCAAAATGTGAGCAAAGGTGGCCAACTTAAAGTTGTGTGGAGGAGATGGAATTATCTGGGCGTGGTTGAAGCATAAAGTATCAGTGATATCTGGACATAGTAGCATACACATGAATCCTAGCACTTGGAAGGCTGAGGCAGGAGGATCACAAGTTTGAGACCAGCCTGGGAAACTTAGCAATATCCTGTCTCAAAATAAAAAATAAAATATTCTGGGAATGTAGCTCAGTGATAGAGCACTTTACTAGTATCACAAAGACCTGAGTTCTTTCCCCAGCACTGCAAAAAAGACAAAACAAAAATCAGTGGTACTTATCCATATGCTCTTGTTTAACTGTAATGCACATGAGGGTTGTTTATAGCACAGAGGTCCAGATGAGGGAATGTCCCTCCCCACATTGCATGGAAACTGAACTTTCTGCTCAGATGAGCCCTTCTGCAACATACAACTCTGTAGGAGATGCTGGGCACATGATTTACTTGTATTGAATTTTGAAACATTCTGTTTTAAAAATTAGTCATAAAGTTTTTTAAATTTTTTGTTCTCGCTTTATAGAGTTTACATCTATAACTAATTGTATTATTTTTTTTGCACTTGCAGTACAGCCAAGTACAGCGTGTTGACATTTCTACCTCGATTCTTGTACGAGCAGATTAGAAGAGCTGCTAATGCCTTCTTCCTCTTCATTGCCTTATTACAGGTAATGCTTTTAAAAATTACTTAAAATTCTCACTCTTAGCTAATGAGATTTTGCTGACAGGTCCTTAGTTGAAAAAAAAGTTAAAATATTTGTATAGTGTTTTACTCATGCAGTCATAGATAGCACAACAAACGTAATCTTTGTATTCATGGAAACTTTTTATATCATCTTGAGGATAATTGCACTTACTCAAAGAGACATAGAAAATGGTACTTGAGAGTCATATTGCAACTCTTTTTTTGTTTCAAGCATGTGGTCAATATAGGATAATTTTTTAAAAAAAGTATGTCAAGTATATAACTAGTTTTAAAAAGAATTATTTATGTGTAAAAAAATAGAACAGAACTGTGCAAGAGCAGTGTGTGCTGTTTTTCTTTCATGGAGAGGACTTTGATGTGCCACCCTCTTCTTGTGGTCTGTTGCAGCAAATTCCAGATGTATCTCCAACAGGAAGATATACCACCCTGGTGCCGTTGATCATTATTTTAACAATTGCAGGCATCAAAGAGATCGTAGAAGATTTTGTAAGTTTTTGCTTGTGGATAATAAAAACATTATATGGAACTTAACTTATAATGTATGTTGTTTTCAGTGGTATATTTAAGACAGGGAAGTAGGCTCCAGTTTAACTAGCTCCCAGACTGATGATGGTAATTTTTGGGAGGGAATGTGTACTCAGAATGTCTTACACTCACTTACATGTGATCCTGAAGCAGTTCTGACTCTCTTCTACATTGTGTGGTTCCCCTCTATGATGTCTATCATTATTGTTTTTTAATCTTTCTTCAGAGCTTCTAATTTATGTAGCAAATAGAGTGTTACAGTGCTGTCTAGATAGCGACAGTGTGCTTGTTATGCCTGAGGTCATTTTATGAGAATCTTTCTCCTCACCCTGACCCTGGACTATCTCCAAGTTCATTGGCTAAAACTGTGTTTTCTTCCTTCCTCTCCTGTCTCCTGCCCGCCTCTTACATACACTTGCTCTCCCACACATATTACATCTTTTGGGGAATAGTTAAATAAGTTAATTTTAAATTGAAAATGAAACCAGCTATTTATTTTGTGGCATATTATATAGAATCATTCTTTTAGTTTGTTTGCAAATAAATGAGAAGTGAGTAGCTTCATAGTTGGAAGTGTATGTTGATTATTAGAACCCAAATATAATAATCTAAGTCAGAGTAAACTACATCTAAATTTACTGAACAGTGATAGATTACAGAACCATTGAGCTGAATTTTACAGCATTAGTATTGTTAGATTTTTATTTTCTTCTTTCCCCTTTTTTCAATTTTTATTTTATTAGTACATTCTTGTAGTACATAATTATTTCATTCCTTGTGGGGAGTTGGTATATGTACATAACACATCTTAACTCATGTTTTCATTCCCTTTCCCTGCCCTCCCTGTCATTTAGTTTGGGGGAACAGTTAGTTTCTTCACTCCCACTATTTTTCTAATCTTATTGTTTAATATTTCAGTTATTCATTTGAAACTTTTGAATGTAAGACAGAACCATTTTTTTTTCTTTCTGTAACAGAAACGACATAAGGCAGACAATGCAGTTAACAAAAAGAAAACAATAGGTAAGATACCAGGGTCAATCATTTTTTCCCCAGTAGCGAAGAGTACAACCTGCATTTAAGGAATTCTAGGTAAATAATGACATTGAGGTAAATTGAAAAAGTAACCTGAAAAATACTTTAAAGAAATGGTAAAATAATACACAAAATGTTAGCCCTGATAATTATGATTTGAACAGAATTTATGTATTTTAAGATTTTAGAAGGTTGTATTTTTCAGGAACTAAATGGTATTTGTGTACATAAAAATCCAAACATTCCTATCCTTGGATAATAATCTCTCCCTGCCTTTTCTTATTTCTTATTGTTTTGGTTTCTATATTAGTGTTGTTATGTTGTTGATATTGTTATAATTGTCTGACGTCAGGTTTTTAAAAAAAACTTCTGAGTTGAATATAAATAGATTTGAATTATATTTACATAAAGATTTACATACATGTGTGAATGTTTATATGTTACAGAGATAGATCAGGGCTCCATTTTGGGAGTTGGTGCTCTTATACATTTCTGTCAAGTGATATGACAGATTTAATAAATGAAAGTTTACAAGGAATCTTTGGGATTTTTAGAAAATTAATTTTTAAAAATCTTGATTATCATCAGTATTAACCATACATTGTTTTTTTCTGTTTCAGTGTTAAGAAATGGTATGTGGCATACCATTGTGTGGAAAGAGGTAAAAAACCAGCTTTAAAGATAATAACAGAAAGTGTTGTTTTGGAGGGTTGTAATGAGTTGCTGTTGGTGATCACAGTGTAAGGTTTCCATTAAGGCCTATGGTCATCTCCATTTTATATTTGTTTTTCCATGAGTTGTGCTTAGAACTGACTGTGCTTCCTCTACTCTTGTCTGCTTGTTGAATGTATACCCACTGTAGCAGTTCAGACTGTCATTTACTGCTCCTGCTGGATAGTTCTGTATCTCAAAGCATTTTCTAATTTCTACATCCAATTTAAGAAACATTTTCCTTGGTCTCTTATTATTCTTTTCATCTAAAGTCAGATGTTCAATGCTTTTTTTAAAATACTTTTGAGATTTTCACTTCTCATATTTTCAGTGGAGAAGCTATCATATCACTAAACTTAGAATTTGAGTAAGAAACGCTATCATTTCAGCTTTTAAAGCAGGGAAGTTGAAAATGACCAGTGTGAAGTATGATCAAAACAATGATGAATGTTTAAATTTTTAAAAATTCATTACATTAAAAATTCATTACATTAATACCATTAGTCTCCTCCTTACCTCAAACACACTCATCTCTGTTCCTGCAGCTTTCTGAAGCAGTTTTAGAAGTCCTGTTTTATGAGTGTCTTTAGTTGTGCTTTCCTGGCTGCTCTGATGTCCTAAATCAATCCAAAAATGTTCACTTTTTATGGTCATTTTTGACTTTGAGGAAGAACCAGCAGTTGTGTGGTGAAAGATTCAATGAATAAGGTGGATGAGGACACACTATAGTATTTCTATTTGATAGAAATTGCCATAAATATTTGATCAATGAAGGGTGATCAAAAATGTGGGGAAGGCTTAAACTTAAAATATATATAGTCACAGATGCATTGTCAATTAATCTTCCCTACAATACTCAAAATGCTTCCCTTCACTTTGAATACATTTACCCTATTATTCTTCACAATATGTTTTTTCTATAATAAATATTTTATTTAAACATGCATGATGTCTTTCCATTACCCCTTGTAGCTACTGCTGTTAACATTACAGTAGCATGAAAGGATTTTCTTCAGTATGACTGGAGGTATGAGATGTGCAGGTTTGAGAACGGAGTTTTCTTTGGGTATTTTGGTGAGGCATAGAAAATTTAGAAGAAATACGTTGTGCCATCTCGGTATTTTTTTAATCTGATAAAATTAGCTTCTAAGTAGGCCTGTTTTAGCTGGGCCTTCTTAATTAGATGTTTCTTAGGGATGTCTCTCATTAGTCCCACCTTCAAATTGATGATTTCAAGAGAAAACTTGCTTGTTAAATATTTAGCAAACTTTTTTTGAATGACTCTTAGGACATTTTATATCTGAAAAATATCTCTGTGATAAGATACCTGCTAATTTACTTTAGGTTTTGTTTATTTTGCTTTTTTCTAGGAGAACCATGTACCTTTAAAGAAGTTTCCCCTTTATTGGTATTTTTGTTATAACACCTTGACATCTAGAAGTTCCGATACTGCAGGTGTTCTTTGGCCTGTGTCTCATTTGGAAGTGAAAGGCGGTGGATTTTTGTCAAGAGGTTGGGTGTTCTTGACGCCCCAGGGGAGAAATGCTGCCAGGGCTGTAGGGAGCCAAATGTTCTCATGGCCCTGGAACATTGCCCCTCCACTTTCCCTGAACTCCTCTTCCCCAGCCATCACCAGCACTGGCCAGTGTGGAGAATGATTTAGATCCAGAGTGCCTGACACTGCTCAAAACATCAGGAGATGGAGTGATGTCACTGACTCCTGGGTCCAGGAGTTGATGGCCTCCAAGACTCCCAAAGCTCATTACTATTTCCAGCACACGTTTGGGAGAGAAACAGCAGTAGCAGTACACCTGTTATGTGCTTTTTTTTTTTTTGGTATTTGGGGATCAAACTCAGGACCTTGTGCTAGGGAGGCAGTGGCACCAGTGAGCTAAATCCCCGGCCCAGCATGCATTTTTGTTTCAATTAAAAAAGCATTTTGTGTGCTTATTTTGTGTGTTTAGTGTGTGCCAAAGACTGCTCCAGGACAGGATTCAGAGTAGATCCCTTGCCCTTCCAGAGTCTTGGTGTGCCACTGTCCTCAAGCTTCAACAGCATCCCAGTCACTCATGGGCCAGTCCCATGTGAATGGGTCTCACACCCAGAATTTCCGATGCACCGAGGCTGCTGCTGGTGATCTGGGGAGCACACTCAAGTGCCAGTGTAGCAGAAGAGACAGGCAGCTGGCTGTAGTACAGGGCACCTGCTGAGCTGCTCAGAGTGCCCTGGGGACATCTGGGAGGGACGTTTGTCTAGATCTTAGCAGATCTAGTGAAGCTGCCCTCAAGAGGTGTTCAAGACACAGGGTGTGGAACCAGGGGGTGTCCAGACAACCAGGCACAATGTGTCACTGTGAGGAGTTCAGTAGGAAGCTGAAGACACAGGAGAGGACAGGATAATGGGTGTGAGGGTGCAGCCCCCAGGTGGTACATTCCTATGTCCCAGCAACTTGGGAAGCTGAGGCAGGAGGATCACAAGTCTGAGATGAGCCTGGAAAATTCAACAAGATCCTATTTCAAAAATAAAATAAAAAGGGTTAGGAAGAGGGCTTGGCTGTAGAAGGTCCCTGTGTTTGACCCCCAGTGCTACAAAACAACAACAACAACAAATGATGAGAGCACTGGGGCTCTGAAGAGCAAAACAGCTGTGGAGATCACAAAGCTAGTTTGTGCCTGCGAAGTGAGGGTGTGAACCTCACTAGGATGTGTGCCTGCTGGAGGGAAGCCCCTCCTTTTCTCTGAAGCAACATTATCGAAGGGACTTGGTGACATAGCCGTGGGCTCTTTGGAGACCAGGCCCCGTTTCCTTGGCTTGTGGTCTTCTCTCCCGTGGAATCTGTTTCTCTAAGTGCTCTCTGACTTGACCATAACTTTCTTTTCTGGCAATTCCTTGAGGCTCTACAGATCTTCTCTTTCATGTGATACATTTCCAGGCGGCCCCTTAGATGCCTTACTCAGGGATACATGTAGTGATACCTTTTAATTTGCGAGCAGGCCTTCTTGTCAGTCTATCCTTTCAGTAACTCCATGAAATATGTGCCATTATCCTCAATATATATCAATGAGAAGAATAAGGCTCACCCTGTTTCCATACTTTTCTTACAGTTACACAGCTAGTTAGGGGTGTAACATGGACTCAAACGTACAAACTTAGGCTGGCTTCAGAGGTGCATGGATAACTGCCCAACCCCACCATAGATAATTCCAAGAAAATGTAATCTACGTACATGTAGTTGTTTAGACTTATCTTTTCACTCTCTGTTTCTTTTTTCATGAAATATCACTGTAAAAGACAACAGAATTGTCCCTCAGCTTCCTCAAGGATTGTTTCAGGATGCCTCATAGATACCAAAATACACGGAGGCTTAAATCCATGTATAAAACAGTGTAGTATTTACATAAGATCTGTCTGTATATCCTCCCATGTATTTTAAACCCTCTCCATAAGACTTATAAAGCCATGATTGTAAGTGCTGTGCAAATAGTGTTATACTGTATTGTTTGGGGGAATAATAATGAGAAAATCATCTGTACATGTTCAGTACAGATACAGTTTTTTTTCAAATATTTTCAATCCTCAGTTGGTTGAATCACAGATGTGGAGCCCTTAACTAGTTACAAGTTGTGTGTGTTGGAAACATTTCCTTTTCGTTTGGTTAAAGCATGGCTTAGTTGTGTGACAGCTTCCTTCTTCACATGCTTAACCACCCTTACCCCATTGTGCTTCTTCTTTTTCTTTCATACCTTTCTGTCCTGGTTTCTGCTTTCCAGGTGGCAGTAGGAGACATCGTGAAAGTCCTCAATGGGCAGTATCTTCCAGCAGACATGGTCCTGTTCTCTTCCAGGTCAGGTGTGCTAGTGGGCACATTTTTTTTGAATTAAATATTATGAGCAATAAAATGTTAAATGACAACTGCAGAAATCTTGAGCCACCTTTCTGTTTTTCCCTAAGAGTCACCATCCTTTTCTCACCACCCTATTTTCCTGTTACAAGCTGGTTGTCCTTAACTAACTACAATTTTGGGGGACATTGTATTTCAAAACTTTGGATCAGGAATTCTCATCTAATAGAGCTACAGATGTTTCAAAGTCCAAAACCATCCCAAAATCTCAAAATCTCAAGCATTTTGGATAGAGGATGATCAACTCTGTTTTTGTCAATTCCCTTCTCCTGCTTTGACCCTTGGCTTCGTTTCTCCAATTCACGAACTCCACAAGTACTGCCTCATTTAGTTTATGACCATTCTGGGGAATACCTCACAGCTATGGTCACTGCTTTAAGGGCTGTGGAGTGGTGCACACAGTTGCATCCGGTTTTGAGGTTTTGGCACCTGACTCTGGTGGGTCCAGTCAGTAGTTTTTTTTGCAAGCCAGTGCTGCCCTCGAACCACACACATTTTCTCAGTGTAGGTATGACCAGAATATGGCACTTCTTCCCCATTCTTCCACATTTTCCCCCTTTTCTGCCTGTTCTCTAATTTTGTGCAAGGAAGGTATCATCACTCAATGGCATACAGGATGGACCAACACAGCTTTGCCCTTCTTGCGTTGATGCTTAAAGAGTATATAGCAAAGAAGGAAAACCAAAATCAGGATGAGAGTAGCGCCAGTTCTTGAGTCCAAGATTAAACTTTATATGGTGTTAAGACTACAACTTCCTGTATTTATATAGGAACCACAGATGCTTGGGTTGTTTGCATTTTCTGCAGTTGAAAGGCAGTGTTTCTTATATTGGGTTTGATCACTCATTAAGTTTAAAACCCTAACATTGTTTTCTGCTATAGATAAAATTTTAAAAAATAGCACCTAAGTCTGATGGAAGGGAAAGGCACTGTAAACATGGGTCGAGATTCAATATGGCCATCTTGGTTGGTAGCAGAAAAACTTGCAGAAATGTTAAGCACTTGATAGTTTGAGTGATGAGTCTTGTCTGTGACCCTCAGAAAACATGGCTTTGCTGTTGGATGGTTTGCTTGAAGTGATGTCATCTTTTCAGGATACTCCTTGTATCTGAGTTTGTACTTTATGCTGAGTAGTTTGCTAAATACAGTAACCCATTTAATCTCTTCAAAAATCTTTCACACCCTTCATCAGTGCACCAGAAAACTGAGGCATAGAAGTTCAACAGCTTGCCAGAGCCAGATAACACTGAAAATCAGTGGGAGGGCATTTAAAGTTAGTCAGTGGGTGGCAGAGCCCATTCTCTTAACCACCAACTATGCTGAATGTCCTACCCTGGAAGATCAAAGTGTGAGTATAGGACCTGATAGGATTATTCTTATTATTTTTGAGAATTCTGTCCTTAAAAGTAGGTATTTTGATTAAAGTTTCCTTTTGGCATAGTAATAAATGTAAGGAAGCAAACGCTTGCCAAGCTTATGCCTCAATCCTTCAGTTCCTGTGGCTGTAATTTTCCTCTAAGAGTGTGTTTGGTTGGGAGTGGTAACACATACTTTTTATCCGCAGCCACTCAGCAGGCTGAGGCCGGAGGATCACAAGTTTGAGGCCAGCCTGGGCAAGTTAATGAGAAACCCTGTCTCAAAATAAAAAATAGAAAGGGACAGGGATGTACTTCAGTGGTAGAGTGAGGTCCTGGGTTCAAACCCCTGAACAACAAAAGAAAAGGAAAGGAAAGATATTTGTTTTAATTTTGGCTTGGCAGCCTTTTTGTTCAGGTGTGGACCCAGCGTCAACCGTTTGAGGGTCACCTCAACCTAATGGTTGGGTCTTATCTGGAATGTAAGGCGTTTCAGAAAACTTGCTCACCCTTTTTGGTTCTTCTCCAGTTGTCTGTGTCGGTTTGAGGCCAAGCGGTCATTATTTTGGGGGCTAAGAGGTGGATAATTAGTGAAAACAGCTTTGTATCACTGCTGTGCCCTCAAGATAAGTGTGCCTCTTTCTTCTCCTTGGTCACTAGGCTGATTGTTGCCAGTTGTCTTTTGAAGGGCCCATCAGCAGGGATATTTCCATAGCCGAGAGTTCATGAGCTGTGAATTTGTAAAGGAGGACTTTACTGACTGCTAAACCCCATCCCTTTTTCTCTCTCCTTAGTGAACCTCAGGCAATGTGTTACATTGAAACAGCTAATCTAGATGGGGAAACGAACCTTAAGATACGTCAGGTAAAGTCACCTCTATTATGATTCATAGTGTTACAGATGTCCAAGTTGCAACTATGGTTCCCCCGTGTACCAGTCGGTATCTTTTGTAGGGAAAGCATCATTCATTCAGGAAGGTTTAGGCCTTTACCCTACTGAAATCTGTGGAAGAATGTCCCTGTGATTATGCGGGGAACTGGCCCAGAGGGACTAGACCCTTAGAGTAAGTGGAATTTCCTGCATTGTAGGTCCCAAGGGTATCATGCCTTCCTTTGTGTCTAATGCCCTGTCTGTCTGTGATGCTGAGGAGAGGGAGCTCTGCTGGGCTGGGCACTGGACAGGACACCAGCTCCAGAGGTCAAATGGAGGATACGAACCTCAGGCCTCTCAATGTTTATCACTGTTGGAATTGAGATTTTATTCTAGAGAGTGGTACCAGTATATTAGACACAAAATTTCCATACCTTAAATAAAGCTATTCTTACTATATATTTTATTTTAGCATGAAGTATAGTTTTTAAAATATAAAAATGTTAAGCATTTTGACATAGAATTGTTTGTGGTTTAAAGTTGAATTCAGTAATTCTGTCTAAATGTCTTCTTTCTGGAGATAATTTGATTTAGGCTTTTTTTCTTCTGTTTAAATAAGGGTCAGTGAGGTTAGTTTGGCATTCTGTTTTTATGGATGTTTGGAAAAGTTCAGAATAAAGCACTCAAAAAATTTTTTTTAAGTTTATAAGTGCTAGGTAGTGTGAAATACTGAGGAGATACTTTTATTTTTTAGAGGACAGTATTAGAGGACAGCTAACAGTGTATGCTTTCTTCAAAGGATTTGGGCATGTTAACTGTTACTTAAACATAATGTTTCCAGCATAGTGGAGGAATCTTCACTTTCTGCTCCACTGAAATCTTTTGCCATTTTCTCCTCAGATTGTTGGAGCAAAAGGTGTGGTAAAGGCTATCTCAAAGGGCTGACATTTAATTTATCCAATTATTATATTGTAGAAGGCTCATGCTGTCCCTAGGACAGAATGCTGAATGATTTCCCTCAGACGGGTTTCTCTTTTGGTTTAACATTTTAGGGCTTGAGCCACACTGCTGACATGCAGACGAGGGAGGTGCTGATGAAGTTGTCTGGAACTATAGAATGTGAAGGGCCCAATCGTCACCTCTATGACTTCACTGGGACCTTGAACTTGGATGGGAAAAGGTATCATTCTTCCTTCTCTTCATTTCTTTTCCTACTTTTTTAGTGCGAATAAAAATTACTGGAAAATATGTTTGCCTTCTATTTTCCTAATATTTGAAAACAGTGTGATTTCTTCACATGTACTTAGCTTTGGGCTACTGAGTTTTTCTGAAAACACAAATTTAGTCCATTTAAAACTTCCCTCAAGCTTAATGAAAGAAAAGACTTTTTACCAAGAAGAGCCTCAGATGTGGGTCACAGCAGGTGGCCTGTCCTTCCAGGGCAGGATAAGTGGCTTTGGCTGCATCAAATGGTGCAGAAGAATAGAAGAGAGGAGTCTGAGGAGTACAGAACCTCACGTAAAAGACACGTGTCCCCTTTTTAAAGATTTCTTCTGAGTAGCGTTTGTTTTTACTTTACTTTATTTATTTTCTTGGTGCTAGGAATAGGACCCAGGGCCTCATGCACACAGAGAAAGTGTTCTGCCGTGAGCCACACCACCAGCCCTATCTGTTTTGGCAAAACAGAACAGAGTGAACATAACTCTGCCTATAGACTGTTCAGTGTGGTGTTGTCTATGTTCTGTTGTCTTTGGCTCTTGGTGTTTGTTTTATTGTCTTGAGTTATCTTTGTCATGATGTTGGAGTGCAGTTTCTATCTGCTGCCCATCTTTTATCTGCATGCCTCTTATCCACACCTCCCACAATCTGTCTTGGGTCCCTTATGTTTTGAGTAAACCCATGGCTTGGGAGTTCCTCATCATTAGAATCCACCCAAAACAAATGTGATAACCAGGTGCGCCTGCTTCTTGGTTATCATGTAGTACGCATAGCCACTCTATACGTTCCTCATTTTAAATTTCTAAGTTATCTAAATGAAATCATCTTTGACAAATTTGATATGATAGCTTTATACTTCTACTTCTGTTTTTTTTCTTATTATAGCCCATAAAATATATTTGTTTTCATAAATGAATAAGCTTCTGATAGTTATTTTAGCAATTATCTTTGTGGATATTGAGTTTTATAATAGGATTATATGAGATACAACTCCCTCTAACATTTTAGAGAAAAAATACTGATTTTTCTAAGGTGATGAGTAGTTAAATAGACACTTTTGTGGGTTGTTTCTCGACAGATTAAGCCAAGTCTAACCTTTATTGCTCATGTTTGAACGAAGGAAGTATTTGATTTATTGTGGGTTTGTGTTTAAGGGGAAAGCTCATGCTTATTTGTCAGAGTGTCATTAAATATAAATATTGTTTCTTATTTTTAGCCCTGTTCCCCTTGGGCCTGACCAGATCTTATTAAGAGGTACACAGCTTAGAAATACTCAGTGGGTCTTTGGCATAGTTGTTTATACTGGACACGACACCAAACTCATGCAGGTAAAATGTTTCTATGCTGAAAAACAATGCTGACTTTAGCCTTTTTGTTGTTGTTGTTTTCCTCTTTCCGTTTCTATTAAGTAGATGGTGGAAAATGAAGATGATGTACTTAAGGAAGCTCAAGTTTTTCTTTGAACCTAAATTTGGAAAGAAAATGCCTTTTTTTTAGTTCCTTGGATAGTTTCTTCTGGACTTTTATTATGTCAGACATTTGTTACCTCTGGTCTGAAGTATAAATGGACTTTGTCTTCTAGATTTAAGAGGGACAATTGATTCTAACTTATTGTGTCTTCTGGACTTAAAGGAGGATTAGTTTTAATTTTATTTCTCTTTCAACTTCTCTTCACCCCATTAGTTATGATTTTTACAGTGAACTGTTAACTAAATCTAGGCCATTTACAATCAGTTATTTTTGAACTAATACTTACTCTTCGTATACCAAAGAAAGCAATGTTAATTTACAATGATTTTTCGCTCTTTTCTGTTTTTTTGTTTGTTTGTAAACTTATATCCACATTTAATTGTAACATATTTAGACAGTCAGTTTTTGAAATTTTATATAAATCAGTTTCCTTTTATGTCCTTCCTGACATTCTTTTGATATCACTTGGCTTCTTATTTTGCAGTGGTAGCTATTAATGAGAACTGACTTTTCTTCTTATATGACATCTAAAGAACACATTTAGCTCTTCTTCTTAATTAAGAAATAGTTAAGGACCACCATGCACTAATTCCTGGGGGATGCCCTATAGATACATTTATGAAAGGCCCAGTCCTACCCTTTGAGAGCCAAGGAGTAATATGGACTTAGCAGAGGTATAATTGTTGTAAAATATGTCATTATGAAATCCTAAAGGGTCACACAGTGCAAGAGTACCAGTAGGTAGGACACTGTGAATGATCTCTTGGCAGAAGCACATTTTAAATCCTGAGTTGGAGGAAGGAAACTTCTGTTGACCAGCTGCTTGAGACCAAATGACAGTAGAATGAGAGACTTAAGACATTACAATGTGTGAAATGACAGACCCTGGGGCCACATCAACTATTTGAAGCAGTAAAGACAGGGAAGGAAGTTAGCATTGGAAGGGTTGAGAGATACGCTGAAGTTGAAGAGGATCTTTGGTGCCATCGAGTGACAGGCTGGCACATGTAGGATGCTATCTTTGAGTTTCTGAAGTTGAGGGTTTGTAGTGTGCTAAGATCTGGGGCTGAGCCATGGGAAACGGGAACTGAGGGCAGAATTGCAGAAGCCCATCAGTGCTGAGCAGCAAGAAGATGAGAGGCTAAGGCATCTAGTGATGGGTTGATGTTGTGATTTTTTTTTTGGAACTCCTGTCCTTGTACTTGCAAGGCAGGCGGTGGCACTACTAAGCTAGATCCCTGGCCCTGTGATTTTGAAGGTGTAATTGATTGGTCGCAAGCTGTGAGCTGGTTGCTCAATTCCCCAGCGAGGGGAGGGCAGAAGGTAGTGTAGCCAAAAGGTAAAATTTTGTGAATGACTTGTAAATCACAATGGGCTGGGGTTTTAGCTCAGTGATACGGCCGCCTGCCTCGCAAACGCAAGGTCCCGAGTTGGATCCCCGGTACCCCACAAAATAAATAAATAAAACAGTAAAAAGGAATAAAAGTTAGGCACTGCTACAGTGTCTTGGCTATCCATGTAGTAATGCTACCCCCAGATACCAAGAGATGTGACTAGCAAGACTCACTGTGCTTTTAGGGCTGAAAAAGAAGTAAAAACAATGATCTTTCAAAGGAATATGAAACAATACACATGGCTGGAAGCCATTCAGTTTGTGAATAGCAAGTTTTGCCTGTACTTGTACCCCTTGACCATAGGAAACTTGATTGCTTTAGGAGGTTTTTTTTTTTTTTTTAATTAAACTCTTCCCTCTATGTCTTTTACCAAACTCTAGGTCCCTCAGTTCATGCTTAGTGTAGTTATGTGCAGAAATATTCAAATCTGTTATTTCTGTTGGTTGATTTAATGGGAAAGAGAGAGATTTTATGTTAAATACAACAAGCATTAATTGCAACAAATCATGCATGGCTCTAAGTGATTCACAGCTGTTAACTCTTTTGTTCCTCAATTATTGTTCTCATTTTCTAGATAAAGGAACTGAGGCATATTGCCAAAGTATTCTAACCTTGGAGATGGGGCTGGTCAGGCAACCTCCAAAGTGATTGCTCCAACTAACAGTCTGGTCCCTACACTTTTAAGGAGAGGATAAAATGTGTAAAATTCAGGTCTGATTTCAGCTTTTTCAAAAATTGACATTTTGGTCTGTTTCTGTTTATATCAAAGAAGTGATGCTCTATGAATGTTACAGAAGATCTTATAATTTCAATAGGAAGCTACCAATAAAAGCTCATCACTACAAGTAGAAATGTTCAGAGGATAGGAGGGAGTGAGCAAGAGCCTGGCTTTCTACAAGGTGCATGTGCTGAAGCCTGAAGTTCTGAGGTCATTTCTGTTGTCTTGGACAAAAATAAAATTTTCTAACCCTGCTAACTGGCTGGAGTTCAACCACAGGGAAAGATCGGAAGTCAAAACTAATGGGGTCCGTTCTCAAAACTCCTGATCGGGCCAGTCCTTAGACCAACTCTGCAGAGGCATAGGTTCCCATGAAGGGTAGTTTTCTGAGCTCCCAACTTTGAACATCTTTAAAGAAAGGGCAGGGGAAACCTGTAATAGAATGGAGTGGAGTTCAACCCTGAGGGTAAGGAAACTAAAGTTAGGCCTTGTAGATTGTGTTCAGTCTCAGTCGTGAGGAACAGACATTGGCTAGCTAAGACCAGGGGGTTGGGTTCCGCATATGACTGTGCATGTGGTATAATATGAGATCAGAGATAGCCTGAAAGAGGACCTTCAAATTCTTTTTCTTTCCCTCTCTCTTTTCTCTTTTTTCCTCTTTCCACCCTAAAATTTCTTTCTTTTTTCTGTCCTCTCTCTCCAACTCAGTCTCTTGCTCCACCATAGTGTCCCTCATCTCCCTCTTTATTCCAGTTCCTGAATAACTCAGACTTCTTTTATTATTTTTTGTTTTTAGGAGGGGTTTCTCTTTATGTTCTTTTCTCCAGTCATTTTACCTCACTCATGGCTCTGTACCTTCAAGGGAAGGCAAGCGCCTGTTACTGTTAAGGGGATATATTCCTGTCCTTATTCCTGCACTCTCTCTATCCCCCCTGAACTTAATAGCTTTGTAAAGATAGTAAGGTAATTCTACAACCTCTGGATTCACTTCAAACCTGCTCTAATTCTTTCACTTATCTAATCCTCTTGTTCTAAGTCGAACCCCCCATCCTAAATGGTAAAGATGCCATATTGAAAAGAATATTCACTGCAAACATACTATGAGCTGCTTCTTGAAATTAATCTAATTCACATGAGTTAAAGGTGATACATTAATGACTACCATAAGTGGTCAGTTGGCAAGCTGTGCCTGATCCTATTGGGCTGCTGAATGTATCAATTGGGACAAAGAGTGGTGATTGATTTAAAGAGTTGTTTTCTCTGATATTATGAAAACGAGAATGTCTATGAGTCATTAGAAACTCAAAAGCTAAAACGCAACTATATTAGGAAGATTTAAGTAATACCCAGAAATTAAAGAAGGACAACCCAACAATAAAAATAAAAATGAGAAAACACTTAAGCAAGACACAAAAACAAATATCCAGTTCACCAATAGCAAATAGTAGGACAAATGAGGATGAAAAGTCTGATAGTGAACCAACAGGACTCCCTGGACCCATAGCACAGGAGGTAACAAAATTGATCAATCAGGCTCTAGAAAAATTCAAATCAGAAATAATTTCCCAGCTAGCCAGAGAGATGATGAGCAAAATAGAAGTCATGATTCGAGACTCTAGAGCAGAAACTGAGAAAAAAATAGATGAGCTCAAGACTGTGATAGAAGCCATGAAGACTCAGCATAAGAAAGACATGGAAACAATGAATGCCCAACAGAGGAAAGAAATGGAATCCATAAAACAGATTCAAACAGATATCCAGGAGATTAAAAACTCTATTGAAAGTGTACGAAACAGAATAAAAGATTGCGAAGATAGAATTTCAGATATAGAAGATAGGATAGCAGTCAGTGACCGTGAAAAAAGAGGTCTATTAAAAACAGTAAGGGATCATGAGAAATCAATCCAACAACTCCTAGACGATACAAAGAAAAATAACATAAGACTGATAGGAATTCATGAAAAAACAGGAGAAAACACAAATGATATAAAAAAGCTCTTCACAGAATTAATGACAGAAAACTTCCCAAACAGAAGGGAAGAATTAGACATACAGATAAGTGAGGCATATAGAACCCCAACTAGCCACGATCAAAAAAAATCTACACCTAGACATATAATAATCAAGATTCCAGAAATCCAACAGAAAAACAAAATACTACAAGCAGTAAGAGAAAAGAAACAAATCACATGCAAAGGGAAGCCCATTAGAATCACAGCAGACTTTTCAACACAAACCCTTAGGTCAAGGAGAGCCTGGAGTGAGGTATTCCAAGTCCTAAAAGAAAAGAATCTCCAACCTAGACTTTTGTATCCTGCAAAACTCTCTTTCAAAATAGATGGGGAAATAAAATACTTCCACGACAAAGAGCACCTGAGAAATTTCATGAACACCAAACCAGCACTGCAAGGAATTCTAAACAATATCCTAGAAAAGGACAACGAAATTCACAATAACATGAGGCCCAACAGACCAAATCAAATAGGCAAGGCAAGAAACTAAAAGGAGATGGGAGAAAAAGTAAAAAGAGTCAACAAATGGACAAAAACATGACAAGAATAAGTCAAAATATATCAGTTGTAACCATCAATGTTAATGGCCTCAATTCACCAATCAAGAGAAACAGATTGGCAGAATGGATTAAGAAGCAAAATCCAACAATATGTTGTATACAAGAAACACACCTAGTGCAAAAGGAAGTCCATAGACTGAAAGTGAAAGGATGGAAAACAATTCTCCATGCGTC